AAGTCGGGCGGTGTCGGGGCCTTTTCTCACTGTGACAGTCTGAGGCCTTGTTCTTAGGCTAAGGCCTTCGGCTAAGCAGCAGGGGCAGCCATAAACTGGGAAGGATATGGTCAAATCTTCACATCCCAAACCAGTCACATTGAAATAAGGTGCTATTTGGCAGTTAGGAAGACAATCGTGTGCTGATAGTGCCCATCACCACCTGATAAAAAAAACGGATCTTAAGATGGTTAAAGAAAACTTAGTTTGATAGCATCCTGTCTCTCAAGAAATCACTTATTAATGGTTGTGATTGTGAAACCCTCATTTCTGTATTGTTTTAACTTTATGCCCCCAACTTTTCTCTTGTTAATCTGTCTGGTTCTCTAATTGTTTCTGTCTGCTGTATAATTAATTAGGGTTGTGGGATATTATTGATTAGAGAATGATGTTACAATATGTTAGTATTGGTCAGTTAAATTTCAATACATTTATTGATTAAGATATAGCTGAGAATATTACTATATAAACTGGGATCAAACAGGAAGTGGAAGGGAAAATTGGAATCATGTTTGCTAAGGGGGGGGTAATAGGAACAGGGAATAAGGAATGGGGAACAGGGACACAGGCAAGGCTCTGCGGCATCACAGCTGGGAAAGGAATACTGGGGAACAGACTCGATCTGCATATAGAGATAAGCCCGTGTGACAAAGCTCTGTCCTTTTCTCAGTGGGTCCCGCGCTTCCTGGCAGATTTCACTAGCCTGAGAGGCTCACTGTGACCCTCCACATAGCCCTTCTCTCTCTAGAGACAAGGGTCACAGCCTATTAAGCCATTTTCATCATAAGCCAACAAGGGAGGGGAGAAGAGACAACCCTCCCTCGCACAGTCTCTGTTGTCTCCCAATCTCAGTGATTAATCGGGGACAGGAGGGGGCAGCCCGGGCCACCCTCTGCTCCGGGCTCCAGCCCAGGGACCCTAATACTAGCAGCTATGGTAGCTGACTTTTTGGAAATAAGACATGTACAATTCCCTGGGCCACTTCCCCACAACAGCCCCCACTCAATATCTCCTTCACTGTTACCTCAGGGCCTTCTTCCTTGCACCTGATATGGATTTGTACTGCTTAGTTCCTCCAACAGCACGACTTCCTCCTACAGCTCCTGACACACGCTCCTTACTGACTAACTGGGAGGCTTTTAACTAATACTAGCCAACACTTGATTGGCTTCAGGTGTCCCAATCAACTTAGCTCTCTCCACTGCTTTCTAGAATGATCTTAATTGGCCCCAGGTGTTGATTAACCTGGAGCAACTGCCATTTGGTTACCATTGTACCAGGGATTTGTTCAGTTTGGGGCTAACATACCTGTTCCTCACTACTTTACTATAACCATCTGGCCTTACCCCGACACACTCAACTGGTGTGAAGCCCGACTTCGGAATATGCTTACTTGGAAACTAACCCCAATAAGGATTTCATTGTTTGCATTTTGGACTTCTGGTCTTCTACTTTCTGTGTATGTGACAAGAACCAGGGGAGAAGGTGAAGAGAAAGCCCTTCAACAAAGGGTTTTTTTATTAACACATTGGTCTATATATCAAGTAAAAAATTAAAGATTTTGTTAGATACCTAATACAGATGAGATTAAAAAAAAAAGCTACAAGCCCCAGCAGGAGTTCATCCACATTAGCAACAAAACTAGGAGATGAAAATCAGATTCACATTCAAAACCCCAATTTTGGTGCATGTTTCCTGACTGAGGGTTGGGTGATGTTTCAAACCAAAAATGGCAAAAGACAGTGTTAAAAATAGCTCAAAAGAAGCCCAAAATGTATGTAGTGAAAAAACAAAGATAATGTTATTATATTATTTATTTCTAAATGCATTCAGTGACAGTCGTCAATGTTCATATTTTGGATTGAATTAGTTTTTTACTGTTAGTCTCTAGAAGGCAACATTTCATCCTTGCTGTCTTCATCAGAACTAAAATGCATCTGCTGCTGGTCATATATCAGCAGTGACCACTGCAATCATTACTTTTATTGGTGTAAACTGTTCACAACAGATTTTGGGTCATTGCATATACGCCCTAACAAGAGGAATATTTTCTAAAATATCTTGTTGCACAGTTTTGTTTTTATCATGTTCATCTGAGAAAACAATCTCTCAGCTGCAGCATTGCTAAAAGGTAGTGACAGCAATGAAAGAGCAAGCGAGCCAAGTTCACAAAAGTCTTTGTCCTCAGCGGCATCCATGGGTTCAAGAAATTCAACCCAAAACTGTTCAACTTGGTTGTCCTGAGTATGAGGCCAGTGAACCATAGGCAAAACACTCCAAAGCTGCTTTAACTGTTTGAGGACTCCACAAAACAGTGGCAAAAATGAGGTCTCAGCCAATCTATGTCAGGAAGGGCTGAGTACTGCAAGCGATTCAATCACCTGGATTTTTGGTGGCAATTCCTCTTTCACCAGTTTCACAAACTCCAAAATGTAATCTCAACACCTACTTTGACAATGGGAACAGTTAGTGTTTATTTTGAGAGTTCCAGCTGAAAAGAGATACCAAAATCAACTGTGATAATTGTAAGTTATTTGATTCAAAGTTGATGTCATAGGTTAACACATTAGTTCAGTTCTCAAAAACAAAGCGTTCCATAACTCTCACCAACAAGCTCTGGTAGAATCTCCTCAATTCCTGCAGCAGTTTTTCCATATTAGCACTTTCCAACAGAAACATTTGGTTTATCCTCAGACTTCCTGAAGAATTGGAAGTAGAAAAATCAGGAATATTTGGTTCACCAGATCACTGCACATATAATAAAGAACTCCAGCATTGTGATTTCCTTCTTTGTCTTTGGCTATCTGAAAGTGTTGCTTCAGTTCATTGAACAGATCAAGAACCTTGTTCAAACAGGGTCTAATGGAAAGCCACCTTGTGTAAGAAATCTGCAGTATCTTCTGGTCATCTGGAAGTGACAGAAAAGCCAAGTAACTGGGTGTGTGGGTTGGGGGCTTACAGGTGATGCTGAAAATGGTCAGGTGATTGTCAGAGAGAGGGAATTCAGCAGTGCTTGGTGATGGAGTGATAAAACATTAGGTGTGAGAAAATTCTCAGACTGTGAACTCCCACCACACTGAGCCCTGCCAAACTGGGACATAGCACCCCTGATTAATGAGGAGATACCTGTTCCCCCTCTTGTCACACAGGTTTAACGTCAATGGCCCCAGGCAATCACATTCTGCAGATGTATTTGCCCACTTTTTCACGAAGCTCTTTGGTTTTGACTCCATAAATTATAGGGTTGATCATGGGGGGAACGAGGGAATAGAGGTTGGCCAAGATGATGAGAACATGGGGAGAGATGCCCTGACCAAACCGGTGTGTCAGAATGGAGAAAAGGTAGGGAGTATAAGACGTCAGCATCACACAGATGTGAGCAGTGCAAGTGCTGAGGGCTTTCTGGTGAGATTTCTTAGAGGAGATTCTGAGGACAGCCCTCATGATCAGACTGTAGGACAGGGCAATGAGCGTCAGGTCTAATCCGATGACTAGGAACCCCGTTACCAAGCCGTACATATTGTTGACTGTGATGTCTCCACATGATATCTTTGCCACAGCTATGTGGTCACAGTACGTATGGGGGATAATGCGGTTGTTACAGAATGGATGCCTGCTCAGGAGCAGGGGCAGAGGCAGGATAAAGAGAACAGCTCTTATCAAACCCACTAGCCCTAGCTTAGCTATTCGTGCATTGGTGAGGATGGTGGTGTATCTCAGAGGTTTACATATGGCAACATAGCGATCAAGGGCCATTGTGACGAGGACGCCTGAATGTGCCGTAGAACCCGCATGAAGGAAGAACATCTGGGTGAGACATCCACCCATAGTAATGCCTTTCAAATTGAACCAAAATATACACAGTGCCTTTGGCATGACAGAGTTAGACATGGTGATGTCTGTGAGCGCCAGCATGCAAAGCAACAGGAACATCGGCTTGTGCAGGGTCTGCTCTTTGCTTACAACAAACAGAACTGTGAAATTTCCCAACAGGCTGACAATGTAGAGCATAGAGAAAGGGATGGAAATCCAGACATGGGCAGCTTCTAGGCCAGGGATGCCCATTAGGATGAATGTTGAAGAGTCAGAGGGGGTGAGGTTGAAAGCTGCCATGAGGTTGTTGATGCAGCGATCTGGCTTAGAAATGCTCAAGGTGCCTGTGAAAGAAGAGAAGCACAGCGAGGGGAGTTACACGGTTTTTAACAAATAGTACGATAAATATTTTATACTTATCACCAATCTAGAAAGGGGGGTGAGCAGTGAGGTGTCAACATTTACAGATGGCACCCAATTATTCAGGTCAAAGCCATGTCCAGAGAAGTCCTCAGAGGGAGATAACCAAGTCAGGTGAATGGGCACCATAATTGCAGATTAATTTCTATGTCAATAACTGCAATGTGTTTGCCCATTGGAGAGAAAAACTTGAACTACTCAAATACCTTACTAGGTTCTAATTTAAGTCTATTAACTCAGGACAGGGACTGGACATCATTACACATAGCTTTGTGAAATCCTGCCCAAAGTGCAAGCATGGCCAGATATTAGGAAAAACCTTCGAATCTAGGAGAAGTGGGATGGGGAATCATACACAAAATACCCTGCCATGAGATCGGTCAATCAGTTTCACCCTCCTTTAGATTTCTCTGTGCAGTACTGAGTACCTATCTCAAACCTGACATTGCAGGACTAGAGTGATTCCGGAAAGGGTAGTGAGAATGATCAAGGGCCGGGGGCTCATATGGACTGGGATTGTTACCTTAGAAAGGAAATGAATAAGAGGGGAAATGAGGAAAGTGTATAAATTACTGACTGCTGGAGAGTAGATCGAGATTGAGTTCTCACTGTCTCATAACACATGATTAAGAGGACATTCAATTAAGCTGAAATGTTGCAAATTCAGAACAGATAAGAAAAGAGTGCTTTCTTCACTCAATGCCTAATTATACTGAGGAGCTCATTGCCACAAGATGTAGTTGAGGCAATGAGGTAAGCAAGAATAACAAAGGGTTTGGACATTTACATGGATAGTGAGACTATGCAGTTACAGTAGTTACAGCTAAATAAATGTTTTGGAAAGCCCGTACACCCATGTGTTTCAGGGGAAAAGCCAATCTCTAGCTGTCAGGCATTAGGGTGACACCCTCATCATGGTCAAGTCACCCCCTATCTATCTACTGCTGGGTTTCGTACACTTTCTTCTGTAGCTCCTGATGCTATCACTGTCAGAGAGAGGACACTTGGACTACATGGACAATGGGTCTGATTCACGATGCAATTCTTATGTTGGAAAGGAGCCAAATTTCCCCCATGGAAACAGACATTTTCATGCTGGGCTATGACTTTGTTCTTAACAGAATGGGGATGAAGGGCACATGGGTCTTGATATTTAGGGTTACATCTGTTACTTCCCTTGTTTCTTACTGGCACTTCTTATTTTAAACGGTGAGAGTAAGTATTGGAACAATTTACCAAGGGTCATGGCAGATTCTCTGTCACTGAGAATTTCTGCGATCTGTCGCTGTGGGTGAAGGGAACCCCAGCAGCAGCAACAGTTCAGCCTGTGCAGGGAAGGAGAGAGGGACAGACCCGGTGAAAGGGAAAGGCGACATGGAGACAAAAAGGAGCCAGTGTGAGTAACAAAGCTTTAACATATTGCAGCCTGTTAGGAACCCGGACATACCTTCCTGAGGCTGTTTCTGTGTTGGCAATTGCTGACGTTACCATGAGGCTGTAATGGTTATACCCCTCACCCAGGTCCAAAACCAGGTGTCAGACCCCATAAAGGCTTTTCAGGCTGATCCCCCTCTTTTCCCCGGTGCAGGCAGACACTGAGTTTAACCTCGGCTGAGGAGGTATTTCTGTGAGCTCTCGCTGTGGGTGAAGGAAACCCCAGCAGCAGCAGCAGCTCAGCCTGTGAGAGACCAGGTAGGAGGGAGACAAAAAGCAGCCAGTGTGAGTAACTCTTCCTCAAAATAATGCACAGCTCTAACATATTGCAGCTCGTTAGAAACCCAGACACCCCTTCCTGAGGCTGCTTTTCCATGTTGGGAATTGCTGATGTTACCTTGAGCCTGTAGTGAGGTTGCTCACAGGAGGATGAATGGTCTGGATGGGGGATGGTGTCAGAGACAATATGCTGCAGTGTGGTCCACATTACGTTACTATCTGAGACAGCCCCCTGTCCCAGGAGGCCTCCTTACGCCTCTTTGGTCTGTGTATTTGGCAGGGTGTCCATTCCCTATTTCACCCAGTT